CAGCTTTGGGCTACCACATTTCCTCCCTAGTTTCTTACCATTCTGCTTCTGAGTTCTCTAAACTTTGCTATTGATATGACAGGATCACCTCCCTTTTTTTTTTTAACTTTTTTCTTTGTGGGGGGAGACAGGATAACATTATAGAAACAGCTTGACTAGTGTGGGAGGACAAATCTGGACGCTACCTTTTAGAGGAACCTCACTCTGTTCTTTTTTTCTTACACTTGCTACATTTTGGATACACTTCAACACAGAATGTAAGGAAACCCTATTACAACAACACCTGAGTCATGTCTCACAAGGTTCCTTCTCTAGTATGAAATAACTTGGGCATAGTTGCACACCAAGGAGTGAATGTACTGTCTGCCATGTGTGAGAGGACAGGGTGTAAATTACAATGAAACACCTATTAAAGAGGATCTGTTTCAACACATGGTGGGCAAAATCAAGAACTTCATTACTAGAAGCAGAAATAAAATTAAGATGTGTCTAGACTGTAGACTTCCTTCCTGCTGAGAGCTGGGGATTTCCTGTATCTCTTTGGTTTGGTTTTGTATTTTTCCCACTTCCAAGTGTGAGTCACCCTCCTTAACAGGTGGGCTGAAACTTTTTTTTTTAAATCCATACAAACTTCAGCCCACCTGTTAAGAACCATGAACCCAAGGGCCTCACCACTGTCCTTCTCCATCTTTCTCTTAGTCCCTGCAGCCACAAACCTACACAAAGTAAGTTAACCTCCCCAAAGTACTTCAATACCAGGGCCAATTTTGATTAGGTGAACTTTTAGACTTTTAGACTTTTGAGAATTTGTTTATTGAAATTACTATTTTTTTATCCCTTAAAGAGCAATTTTTTTTTGGTCAAAAAGTCTTTAATTTTAAAACCATGCTTATACAAGGATCCAGTATGTGAGAGCACAAACCAAAGAGAGAGCTCAGCCTAACACACAGCATGAAAGGCCGAGCTCAAGGAGGGTCTACCAATGGGTAGGGAAAGAAAAGTTTGTTCATCGACCTGAGTAGCAAAACAAAGCAAAGACAGTTTATGCATATACTCTGACTCAAATAATGAAGGAATATAAGAAAACCATGCCACATCTCTGTGTCTCAGAGTTTCTGGTTACAAAAAAAGATTTAAAAAAAAAAACCCCTTCTCATCTATAGACCATAGGCCTGCCAAGAGTACTGTACAGTTTTGAGCGTCTCAACATAAAGGTGGTCTACTAATTATACCTTCTGTTTACATAATTGTATTACAATCCTTTCTCCCTCCTGCTCGCTCTCTCTGGCATAAATCTGACTGTTTTGATCCTGTAGAAGAATTGAGTCGCACTGCCTGGCTGAACCACTTGATGGTGCCACATGTTAACTCATCATTCAGCTAAACCATCCCCCTAGTCTAGAGAAGGTCCTGGCTCTGGAGGTGGGGACAAGAGACGCCTGTCAGTTCTATTCTGGAGAGGATATTTATTTCCACAGTGGTTTAAAATCAAGGCAGTTAACATGGCCTCACAGAGGATGGAAAGGATTCAGAGATGAAGTAACTTTTCAGCTAAGTCTTTATAAAGTGGGGAGTCTGCTAGCTAAACAAATAAGGGCAGAACATTTTGGGTAATGGGGACAGCAGGACCAAAGAAAAGGAGACATAGGAGAGCATGCTGTTTTCAGGGAACTACGTGTAGTTCAGTACGGTTCAGACATCGGAAACGTGGGAAGCAGTGGCGGGAGGAAGGCTAAACAGCTCAAAAAATTACATCCAATCACTGAGAGTATCCATTTTTACAGCATAAGCTCTGTGGCGACATGGTCTTTTTCACCGTGATATTGCCAGTGCTTAGAACAGTACCTAGCATGGAGCGGGGGAGCAAAGAAGATGTATTGAATAAGTTAGCAACAGAATAGTTCATTTTGGACAACACTGAATATTGTACAGGGGTCCCTTTCTACTGCTGCAGTCCAGAAAGTTAACTAAACCGGGAAGTTGACAATGTCATATGAGAGTTTAAACCAAAAATTTTAGATATTCTGAAGCTTAAGAAAGACTACCTATCTAAACAAAGGCAAACTTACAGGTCTTAGTAACTTGCCCAGAATTTAAAAAGCAGTGTTTCAAGTTATGTAAAAGAAATATATGACAAAATATCATCCTAGCTACATCCTTCAACAGTTAAACAAAAACCCAATAAATGATAATCCATTTTTCCCACCTACGCGGGGAGACATTACAGTGAACAGGTCAGAGGATTCTCAAACTTTTATAGGAAGTACTTGGGGCAGAAGAAATTTTAAAAGTTGCTTAAGCTCAACAATTTGCCATTAAAAATATTGCCAGCTTGGAGACAACCTGAACCTTGACAGCTTCAGATACAGGCAAGTGCCCTGGTCTTCACACTTAGAATCCCAACTGAAAATGGTTCACTAGGCCATAAAGCAAAGCTCTGGATGTTTTGCCTTGGCTCAGCCTATTAAAAAAAAAAATCCCTGGAGACAAACTTGGAGTCTTTTACCTCACCCACTGAGTAGCCTGCTTAGGTATCTAGTCTTTAGGAAACAGTTTAGGGGGCCTTGGTTCAGAACAGGAAGCTTCCTACAACTTAATGTCACAGAGTCGGGGAAAGATGGATGCCTGATGCTGCGAGGCAGGTGTTCAAGACTCAAACACTGAACCTTCTAGCTTCTGCTGGTGGAGTGTCTTTCATGTTGTCATCTGTGCACCAAGCATGCCTTCTCGAATTGAAAAATGACCCGAACAACTCAGAACCATGCTTCGGGAAACATGGATCCAGAGGACGCCAGGCTCCAGTCTATTTGCACAATATAGAATTCCCAACATGGTGTCTAATCTGTCTTATGAGCACTAAGTTCACCAGGGAAGCTACCACATGCTCCTAAGGCTGAGGCTGTGGCTCTGATGGTGTTCTAGGGAATCTTTTCTCCTAAAGTCCGTGTGTTCACCCTCCATTTCAGGATCTGATATCCTCCAGGAAACCTGAATAATTATATACATAGATCCTAGTTTTGGAGTTTGTAGACCATGAAATGAGCATTTCCACAAAAGGGCCCTTGATCGTCTCACTGGTAAAAACCCTTGGACTTCCTAGAAAATGTTAGGAAAAAGAAGTCATTCTGATGGTGCTGAGATCTCTGATTCTATGGCAATGAGCAAAGGCCCCATAGTAACATTAGATATAAACCTGGGCACCTGAGCCCAGAATGAAGGAGTTAAAATGCTGGGCTCTGCACAAAGAAAATCTTTGATCCATCCTGGCTGCCTGATAGTCTTACAAATGACCTACTTCCAAGCACGTGGAATTCGGATGTTAACATTCAAGGAACAAGAGGAAAAACAGTGTTACCTCACTGAAGGCATGTATTTAACAAGGATTTCCTGAGCACCTACTAGAACACTGTTTTAGGCACTTGTAATACATTTATGAACAAAAATAAAGTCCCTAATCTTACAGAGCTTACATTTTAATGGGGGTGGGGCACTAGGGGGTGGGTGTACACAGACCACAAACAAATGGTAAAAGAATGTGTACAACATTGGCAGGTGATGATGAAGAAAAATAAACCTGAGTAAAGGAAGGAGGTGATGGAAGCTGATCCTGTATAGGTGATCAAGAAAGCCCTCTGTGATATGGTGACATATATGTGACGTGGTTACACATAAGCAAAGGTCCTAGTGAAGGGAGAGAAATGATCTGGACTGTGCTTTAAAGAGATCACTCTGACTGTTAGGGGCAAACTGTGGGGGCTACAGGCAAGGCTGAGCATAGGCACCCCCAAGTGTCCAGGACAAGAGGTCATGGTGGCTCAGATTAGAGTAGTAGGAATGGCAGTCATCAGAAGTGGATTTTTTTTTAAATTAGGCTTATTTATTTACTTTTTAAATGGAGGTACTGGGGATTGAACCTAGGACCTCGTGCATGCTAAACATGCACTCCACCACTGAGCTATACCCTCTGCTTCCCCTGCCAGAAAGTGGATATATTTAAAGGATAAACTAAAGTCAGTAGGATTTCCTGATGGAAAGAATAAGCAAGGTACAGGGGAAAAACAGTCAGATAAAGTCAGATAGACTTGGATTCAGATTCCACTTGACCACTTATGAGCTGTGAGATCTTGAGCAAAATGCTGAG